ACCATCAAATCACTAAAAGTATTTTATGTTTTTACCTTTGTCAACAGACCTGGTAAATCAAAGTTCAGAGAAAAATGGCTWAAAGATATCATAGAAAGCAAGATTAAGATGATGGATACTGTTTTCTTTTAACCAAATAGTTTTTTTAATTCAATAAATAGCAATTGCATTTAAAGAAAATATATCTATTTTGTAAAAAAAATACCAGTTAGCATGATTGCATTAAGTTCAACCTTCTGGAGGAGACACACAGGATTTCTCACAAATCACKTGTGATTCATGGATGTATAGAGGAAAATATAATGTAAGCATGCATGCACCATTTTATTGCAATCATGCCAATGCAAGTTTTGTTTTTATTCTACTTATTGTAAATAACCCTGAAAGTGTGATAAGACTCTCCCCTGTACAAACTATAGTTTTATATCACTTTATAAATAATTAAAGAATAAAAATATYAAATGATTCCCCTCCTTTTCTTCATAATTTGGTATTGGTGCATRACCAATTTTTATAGATACCTCATATCATCAAAATAGGGGTTGTGACAGCATTCATATTGTTATAGATTCAGAAGTAGCTCAAATCCTTTGGATTTAGACTAACATAATTTTATCTGTCCAGTAACATATAAAATTGGAGGCCCACCAGTATCCAGTCCTGGTCTCCAGCAATCAGGAGTGTATTGAAAGGGAGGCCAGTACTGGATAAATTGTAGGATTATTCAAAAMATTTCAGACAATGTTATTTTGCTCATGAAGCAAGACTTCCTCCATGTAAGAGTTGCCATTCATTTCAGAACAACTGTTTCCTCTATTTTCCAGAAAACCTAATGGATGACTAATGAATGACTTCATCAACCCTTTCCTGCACGTTATGGCACATATAACATGGTTATACAACTTGAACAACACCCTTGCACCTATCACAGCAATCATAAGTCACCCTGAAACTATTGGTCATAAGACGACTGTGATAACTGTTCCCTATATATTGTTTTCCTAGTCTTTTCATAACAGCACTGTTGTCTGGTTGTTCATCTGTTTGTAGTTCTACGTCTGATGTCAAAACCTGCAAACAGAGAACAATATTATKATTAAGATTATTCTTTCATTTGATTCTAGACTGGTGTCAGCCTATGAGGTCAATCAGACTGTACTGCAAATCCCAATTTTCGAAGGATTTACTTGTGAACACTGATGCATATTATCAGTGTTTTTGCGTTACCCATCCTCTAGGGAATGAAGAGTACAAAAATGCCACTGAAATACTGTCATTTTTCAAATAAATTTGTTTACCTGAATTGCCAACTTTTCTCCAGGAGTTGGTTCTACTTTTTGTTTATCACTYGAATCTTCTGCAAGAACCTCTTCAGGGAGTGATGTGTTTTGTATCTCACCAAATATGTTTGTTGTAAGGTCTTGCACTAGACAGTTAATAACTGATGCCAGTTCTAGAACACTCTGCTGGCCAACATAATGATCGCTGAGATTTTCTGAACTTGTATGTTTATATGAGGCACTATCATGAGTTACAGCTTCATTGTGGATGTGAAGCAGTCTGAAATAATAAAACAAAGACATCAGGTTTCCAAGCAGGCAAATCCTGAAAAATCGCAGCACTGATTCCATAGTACCTCTTTGTTTTTATAAGGTGTTTCTTCAATTCTTCCCTTTCATTCAAAATCCTTTGGAGGGCGCTCTGTGTTTGTTTGTATTTTGTGTACAGTGTTGTYTTCCACGTCGACAACTCATCRGACATCATTCTTTAGAACAACAGAATTTTGTATYAGCWTATACTATTTTAATTTAGGCAAAAATGTTTTTGACAGACCAGGCTCTCATTCAAGTAGTAACACAAAACTTTTTTTTGCAAGGATAAGTAACTATYCAGTTCAGAAGATGTGAATATTCAAACTGGTTCACCATTTTTAGATWTGGTCTATTTTCAGACTGAAACTAAGCTAAGATTTTCATGATGGAACCCATTGCACACATCTTTATGAGCAAGATAGAATTATATTGTGTAWACTAAATGGTTCTATGAAAGGAGGCATGCATCCCATGACTTGTCTTAAGCTATTGAACCTACAGAATCATAAAACACGATGTAGGGATGGTCACTATGTGWAAACATAAAATTATCCACGACAATTTGCATTGTGCAAATCAGCCTTTAGAGTCTCACAAAATTCATGCAACTCTTTTGTCCAGTTATAACCTCAGGAAAAACTAAATCAATGCCAGAACATCCATATATACTTTATATTGTTAGGATTTCAGAGAACTTGGGTTTTTGGGCTTCCTGTGTTCTAGTAAAAAATATATATATGAACACAGAAAGACCAAAATCCTGCATTCTCTCAAAAATCCAAAAAATTCCTTCTCTGCAGGTTATATGTAGAACATGCACAGATATAAATATCATTAACCAATCACAAAACAAACTATCTATAGATATTCCCATGTTTTCTCAATATTATTCTACATACCTGCTGGCCATAAACTTAGTTCTCCAAACATCACATTCAATGGCCAACTTATCTGATTCTTCTGCATATTCCTCTGATAATTGCTTCCAGTGTTTTATTTCAACTGCAGCTTGAGCATTTCTCATCAACAATGCTTCCAGACTAAACATAAGATTATGACAGAAATTCACAGTCAAAACTGCTGGACATGCACACAAAGAKGTGCAGATACTACAAAGATATAGGACCACAAAGATATTGCAGATATAWATCATAWTGRTATACACACCTGTTTTCTAAATCCTCTCCAACAGCAGCCACAACAAGCCTTTTAAGTTCTGCATTAACCTTAGGGACAATACATAGATAGTCCATTCATGAATACATTRTGATATCATTGCCCTGAATTGCAGAATGAGATTAATCACAGCAGTGCTATACTTGTGCTGGTATTAAATGCAATAACTTACTTGAATGTTAGGCTTTTGATAGATTAGTAATTTTTTTTTGTGAATTGACACACAAGGGTTAGCCACAGGTATCCCAACCTATTTCACTATATATGTCTAAAAACCACACAAACTAGCTTGGGATACCTGTGGTTTGGCATTATGATATAAAAACCCTATACRTACTTTACCTCTGTTTGCAATCCCAGCTGAACACATAATTTAGTCTTGTCTTCTACAAGTTTTGCATTTCTTTCTTCTAAATCTTCGATATTATTTTGCATCTCAAAAACCTCATCAATTGATATAGTTCTTTCTAAAGTGGCTTTTCTGTGATCATAATCATCTAATGATTCCTTTTTGAAGTCAAATAGTTCATCTTCCAAATAACTTGTATCATAAAGTGAATTACTTAAAGATATTGAAGTTCCTGTTTCATCTCTTGATGAAAGTAAATCTTCATGTGATTTGAATGTATTTTTTCTTGTGTAATCAGAGCTGTTCTTTCTGTGGTAGGTGGTTGTATCAGTGCCAACATGAGGTTTATGAACATCATCAGTTATATTAGTTTTATTTTCACTGGACAATATATCAMTACTTTGTATACTATATTTTTGACTGGTTATGTCAGAGTTTCTATAGGTATCTATATGAGACGTTTTATAGGATTGATGGCCTGGCGATGAATGCAATGTACTGCTACTTGGTTCATTGTGATTTMCAGCATGTTCCATMCCATCTCCACTAGACCTAGGTAACATCCGATAATCTAAAAAACGGAAATTRCRTAAACCTCCATTAGAAGCAAGYAAAAAGTACATTAAAACTAWGGAGGTCTTTCTCACCAATATTATCTTTCTCTTGAGAGCCATCTGACATTGTTGACCTGCAAGAGAATAAKGCAAAAACTTATAAACTGAGTTTACATAGTATTGTTCATTACTTGGG